TCAAAGACTTTGGGCTGTCTCTTACTATTAATATGAAGTAAATATTATCTCTAAATCCTGAAGTTCTGGAATAATTAAGGCAAATCCTCCAACTCTGGTTCAAAAGATCTTTCTGTGTTTCCAAAACGTTTGAGTTCTCTTATGCAGATTTTAATATGTAATTGGTTCATCACTTTTGACCTTCTTAAAATTTTCTCAAAGGATATATGCAAAAGACTTGTCATATTGGAGATTAGCCCTGAAGACCAAAGGTCATGATGGGACATTAGTGGGACTTACTAGAGAAGAAAGATGTTACCATGTGAAAAATAATCGTACTAAATATTCTACCACAATTGTGTATTCAGTGGATTGAGAAGTCTTAAGTATCTGTATTTGTGAGATTACTCATACTCTATAACCTCAACATAATAATTTCTTTAACACATTTCCAAAAGGCTATATACATGAGAATATCAATATCAAAGAACAACCAGGAAATACAGATAGCTGTTGTTACAATAATAGCAATCAAAAATTTTAAAGTGTTTAAGTAGTACAAAAAATAGAAATTGGGGAAAAACTTGAAAATGCTCAAAAACATTCTATTAACCATAAATTATTGAATATCTATCTTCAAATATTAATTAATATCACTAAATATTTCATTTTAGATAAGGTTTTGTTTTGAGACATCATCTCCTCCTTCCCTCTATGGCCTTGAATGGACTTTCTAGCTGAGGCTTACCTTGAACTCACAATTCTGCTGCCTCCAATTCCTCTAAGTTCCAGAACTACAGTCATGCACTACATCTGATTCCAAAGTAGGTTTCTTTTCGAAACAGCTTTAAATTATGTATTTCTCTTAAACACTAATTATGTGAAGCCTATACAATCTATACAACTTGTCACAAACCAGTTTGAGAAAATCAAGTGTCTTTCAACATCTTACACCAGTTTTCTCAGGCAATACATTACAGAGTTGTGTAGAATCCCAGATATTTTGAATTCAAGTGACCATTTTAATCTTTTTATAAAGTAATTATTTACTTTTATCTCTGTGTTTGTCTGTGCACATATTTGTGCACAGAAGTTCACATGTTTGCTTGTACTGGAGCACTGTTGTTTATAAAAACCAGAAGATGGCAGCAGATCTCCTTGATAAGTAGTTACAAGCTGTGTGAGCAAATATGTAGGTGCTGGGAACTCAACTACAGTCATCTATCTACAAAAGCAACAAATGTTCTTAACCTCTAAGCCATCTGTCCAGCCCTTTCATTTTTTTTATTTTTTTTATTTTTTTTCGAGACAGGGTTTCTCTATAGCTTTGGAGGCTGTCCACCTGCCTTTTCCTTCCGAGTGCTGGGATTAAAGGCGTGCACCACCAACACCCGGCTGGCCAGCCCTTTCAAGTGGCCATTTCTATCCTGCCAAAATAATGTTGGACAAAACCTATGTTTTCTGACCAGAGCTTGGGAAAACAAATACCAGAGAGAAGACAGTATTAAGGGTGTTAGCTGACTTAATATAGAATGCTTATTATTCATTGGTAGACTTCTTAACAAAAGATAATTTTAAAACTAGACTTTTTATTAAGTTTGCTCTTCACTAATTCTTTCAAACATTATGTTGTTGGTTTTTTCCTCTTAGATATTGAATTATAAGAATACTTCCCCCAGGATTGGAGATTTAGTTACTTAATTACCTGGTTCACACTTAATTTTGACATAATTAGATTCTTTCATCTCTTTAATGGTATAATGACTCCTCCCTCTTAACAAGAATTTTAAGTAAATTGGTTAAAAACCCAAAAGGGTCTGAGAGGATTTACAATCCTAGACAGGCTGTCGAAATTTTTCACTTGCTTTAAAATGGATATTATCCACAAAGGGATTTCATTTGGAAGTGTTGAGGTGGATGGTGGTGACAGAGACAGGTTTACCTAAAAGGGTCTGGTATCAGATTAGTCTATTTGTCAATGTTTTTCATATGTCAATTGCTGCAAGTCACAGCTTGAATTTGTCAAGAGTATGCATGCTGCCTTTTGTTAAGAGCACATGGATATCCCTCACTGGTAGAAACAGCAGCAGACATATATACACCTGGCTTCCCAGCTAGCCTTTGCTCATAGGAAAGAAGGTCACATAACATCATTTTATCCTCCTGGACAGCTGTATATAAGAGGCCTAAATTATGTTTAAGAAAATAACAACAACAACAAAAATTGTCTTCAATGGATGAGTCAAGTTTGGCTTTAAAAATAATTTCTGTTTTGATTTTTTTTTTTTAAATTAGGGAACATGCTGGCTCAGTTTAATAGAAGAATGATGTGGTTTTCATTGGTTTGAACACTCCAGCAGCTTTTACTGACTTGCTGAACATCAGTGTCTTCACAGGTTATCTTGTGGTTTGGTAGAAAGTGGATTGTTCTGGTTTAGTGCAGACCTTAGCTAAACATAGATTTTATCTCAGTAAAGGCCATAATTATTTTTCTCTGGTTTTTATATTTCAATTGTCTATTACACACAATAAGCTAAGCTTTGTAGAGTAGGCCACTTCTCTTCTGTTAACTACTACTTTTCTTAGAGCACACTACTGATGTTACATTGTAGATTGTATGTTTCTTTCGTAACTATCTCTTACGTGGAAAAACAAATGAAGTGATGAAAAATTCATTTCATTGGGCAAGAAAAGAGTAAATATTCCTTCTTACAACATCCTTGACTCACAAGTCTTTCTAAAATTTCAGAAATACCTGTGAGACTCATTGGTTTTTTTATTTTTTATATATATTTTTTAATTTAGAAATTATCTTATTTTACATATCAATCCCAGTTCCCTCACCTTCCCATCCTCCCATACCCCCTACAGACCCCCCTCCCAACCCCCATCCACTCCCCAGGGAGGGTGAGGCCTTCCATGTGGGAATCATCAAAGTATGTCATATCATTTGGAGGAGGCCCTAGGCCCTCCTCTGTGTATCTGGGCTGAGAGAGTATTCCTCCATGTAGAATGGGTTCCAAATTCCATTTAAGCACTAGGTATAAATACTGGTTCCATTGTCAGAGGCCATAGACTGTCCAGGCCTGCTAACTGGCACCCACATTCAGAGGGCTTAGTTCAGTCCAATGCTGGTTCCCCAGCTTTATGACTGGGATCCATGTGCTCTCACTTGGTCAGGTCAGTTGTTTCTGTGGGTTTATCCAGCAAGTCTTGACATCTTTGCTCATCCCTTGCCCCTCTCTACAACTGGAAGAGGAGGGGAGAGGAGAACATGAGGGATCAGGAAGACTGAAAGAGAAGAATAGAGGAGAGCAAGAAAAGAGATACCTAAATAGAGGGAGCCATCATAGGTTTAAAGAAAAACTCGGCACTAGGGAAATTCCCAAGAATCCACAAGGATGACCCCAACTAAGAATCTAAGCAATAATGGAGAGGCTACCTTAAATGTCCTCTTCCTACAATGACATTGATAACTACCTTATATGCCATCCTAGAGCCTTCATCCAGTAGCTGATGGAAGCAGAGGCAGACACCCACAGCTAAGCACTGAGCTGTACTCCTGGACTCATTGGTTTTTAATCAAGATGTATATTAATTACAATAAGATGTTCATCTTTAAAAACATAGTTCAGTAAGTTTTGCCTAGTAGATGTGTCTGTGTAATCAGTATCTCGATCAAGATACAGAATTTGTCTATTGTTACCAAAAATTCCCTTATGATGCACCTCTGTTAATCATGTGTAGCCATGGTTCTGCATGTTACTAGAGCTTATTTTTATATTTCCTAGACGTTCATAAATATAAACAAAGTCTATATAGTCTTCAAAAAATGTGTCTGGTTTATTTCATTCAATTTAAAGGTTTTTAGTTTTAGCTACTCTGTAGATGATTATTCTGATTATTACTCATATTAAAAATAATGGGATCAATAATGAAAAGCTGATACCTGATTCTGACTTTTAGGCTTGACTTTCTGAGTCTCCACTAATTTGCTTTTGAGAGTCCCAAGGGTATACATAATGATTCTTAGCAAAGCCAAAAAACGTGTATTTTCATAGTACGAGTCCTCAGATTATTGGATAAGCCAGTGATATTAGGAGGCATGCTTTTAGATTAGGAAGCCACTGGGGCATCCTGATATCTCTAGGTTTCTTCATAGCTACACCTTTAGTGTCCCTTTGCATTCACAAAAACTGCATGTACTGATGTAAGCATAGCAATCTATAAGACTTTGGAGCTATAGTATTAGACATTCCACTGGAAGTCTTTCTTAAAACACATTTTCCATGGCATAAATATTTAAGACTGTAAAGGGTGGTTTGGCTAGAATTCTTAAAAAAATGTCACAAAGCAGTGTTGTCTATTTGCCGGCAGCGTAAGAGGCTGGTGGAAAAAGGATTCATCTACTTGAATTAGAACAGTTTGTGATTGATGACCAAAGCCAGCTTAGTTTTTGCTAGTTCCAAAAAGGGACACATGGAACTTGTATTGATATGGAAGACTGTCTTATAGAGCATGTTGCTGGAGGAGCAATGTTGCTCACTCAGGTCAGCAATATTGCAGGCTTGATGGGGTGATTAGGATTCCACCAGAGATTTTTTAGGTCAGAAAAAAAAATAATTGTATTTTGGCACTGAAATGTGTTAGTCCATCTCATAGATGGGTAAAGTGACAAATCAGTTTTAGGAAAGCCACAGACAAGTACTATGTAAGCCTGACAATTTTCTACTACTTCTATAGAAACTCGTGGTATTATTACTAAGATCACAGAGTAAGTAAGTAGTTGTTAGAAATAGTTTAAATGAGTATGTACCAAGTGAAGACAGCTTTCCCTAAAGGTGAATTATTTGGTGATAAATGATGTAAAGAAAAAAGTCCTATATAAATGTTCTCCAAATGTAAATGTTTGCACAGCAGCCTGATGTAAGATATGTGGACGTTTTGTTCAAAGGCATAAAGATAATCTGAACAACATACAGCAGAATGCTAATGTTTCTTATGTGTTTTTCCTCCTCTTAGATCTACTAGAGCAACTTCAGGGACTTCTGAGTCCAGGAGTGGAGGAAGGGTTGAGTGAACAAAGAGACTCTGCTCTCAGAAGAATGGAGAAATCCTCATCATAGGTAACAGCTGATTCCTATCTTTGGTTTTGTGTTCTGCAAAAATGAGTGAAACTATGGTACAAAAATATATGATGGCATGGGGAGCATTAAGAGGTTTAGAAATCGCTTTTAGTGTGTTCTGTTTTCCTGGTGCTCATTGTTCATGTGAAGTACGTTCCAAAGTCATTACTCAGCAGATACTATCCTCATAATTGAATTTGGGAGACATAGTGAAGCTAGCATTATTGCAAATCAGTGAGCTGGCCACTTTGGACTTGAGTCCCCAGCAGGAAGGACTGTGATGATATTTCCATGTGACACGTAGGAGGCTGCTCACAAGAACGGTCAGCTGGCCCCCCTGAGCAGCTAAAGCGCTGACATCATGAACCTTGGTGCACCTGTAAACAACAAATAAGTGGCAGAGTCCTGTTGAAGGGCAGTTGACATTTCTCTTTTTTAATCCTTCACAGGTTTTCCTTCTTAGAGGATTCGATTAAACAAAAATACTTGGGTAAAGTTAGTTGTGTCTAAATATTATCCATATTCCGAATCTTCTCCCAAGGAATTTGAGCTTAGTACTTCCTCCTTCATCCATCATAGTCACAGTGGTAAAGAAGTCCTTCTCTAGGGTGAAAAGGGGCACAGCTTAGTTCTGACAAGATCTGCCAACCCCAGGCTCTGAGAAAGTTTACGGCAGACAAAGTCTGTTCTAAAGGTGAGGGAGATACTCCACAGTCTTTCATCATTGTATTCTTGCCATACTCACTTCAACATTTAAGTTATTGTAGGTGAGTCTTCAGTCTGTTATCTTTGTAGTTATTTAAAAAATGATAAAGGTTTCAATGAAGTGAGACCTAATGCAAACTCTGATGGAATTCTTTAGTATGAAAAGCTGCAGACTCACAGAACCTAAGCACTGAGCTCTCTCTGCTTCCTTAGCATCCACATTAGTAGCAAAACTATCCATTGGGATTCCCAGTGGTGTTGTCAAGAAAAATGGCAGAAAATGTCCTCATCGAAAGTTACACTTTTTTGCTGATATCTTAGCAATACCTATTCCTTATCTTGGTTCTATTTTCTTTTCCAGATTCTGTGATTATTTTTCTTTTGTTTTGTATCCTTCTTTACACAGGCTGTCATTTAAGACAGTTTCATGTTCGCAGAAAATAAATTCATTTGAAAATACAGGGAATTTCAATGTACAGTCTTTACCCAGCACACACAGCTTCCACTGTTATTCACATCCTGTATTTGTGTAATAATTGGTTATAATTGATGACTCAATATTGACACATTCTTAAGTCCATCATTAAACTATGGTTCCCTACTAGTACCTCTATTCAATAGGTATTGAGAACTATGTAATGACATATTTTCATCACTACTGTGTTTAAGCATTGTTCTAAAATCTCCAAAATCTCCTGCTCCCTTTATATACCCCTCCCTTTCTTTGCTGATATTCTGGCAAGTTATGATTTTTGTCTCCATAATTTTTCCTCTTCCAGAATATAATTTGGGTCTTACTATATGTGGACAGTTCATAATGACTTATTTTATTTAGCAAAGGTTTGTGGGGGGTGAGAGGGAGAGAGAGAAACAGAGACAGAGAGAGAGACAGAGAGAGATTGTAGATGGTTTCTTTACATATCACCGTTTATTCATTCATCTGTTCATATTGCTTCTAAGTTTGGGAGCTGTTTAGGAAAATGCTGAAAACATTTGTTTTCAGACTTGTATAGCAACCTGATTTCAACTCATCCATATGTGTACCCAAGGATTATAATGACTAAATCAAATATTAATAGAATATGATTTTGTGAGAAATTGCCAAACTACATTACAATGCAGCTGTCACATTTTACATTCCTCCCAGGATGTGAGAAAGTCCCTGCTGTTCCTAGTCCTTGCAGACATTCCCTGTTGTCAATGCATTGTGTCTCACCACTGTAATGGAAACTTTGCTTTTCCATTGTCTATGTATAAATAGAGTTAGTCACACATTAATTTTATTAAAATGTATTAAAACTAGAAACTTAACTGGTGGTATCCTCTTGAGTACTTATTATGGAAGAACATTAAGTATTTGAACTTTTACCCAGGTTGTGGTGGCCCACTCCTTTAATCCCAGCACTTGGGAGGCAGATCTCTGTGAGTTCAAGACCAGCCTGGTCTACAAGAGCTACTTTCAGGACAGCCTCTAAAGCCACAGAGAAACTCTGTCTTGAAACCCCCCACCCTCCCGCCCCTGCAAAAAAAAATTGAAGTTTTTTCTGGGCCTTACTAATTATTGCAATGCTCTTTTGTGTGCACATGTGCATGGTGTCACGGTGTGACCTAGTATTCATTGTCAAAGTTGGCAAAGACTCTTCAAATAATAAATTATTATAACTACACTGTATACAATACATCAAATCTTTTTTTTTGCTTATAACCAAAACATGCATATTCTGTAGATCTTCATTAAAACAAATCATGTTTGATGCTACACAAGCAAGTTTTCTGCCATGAACAGCATTGCATGTAAGTCCATATGGCTCAGAATATACTCAGTCATCTGATCTGGAAGATAAATGGGATTGAATGTAGTTATCACTGGGATGGAAGGCATCAAAAGTAAGACACATGTGTGCTTGCTACAGACAACCCCAAACTTTCAAAGAATCATTTTATGACTTGTACACTTGCATGATGGTATGAAACTGTGGTACAAAAATACATGCTGGCATGGGGAACATTAAGAGGTTTGGAATTCGCTTTTAGTGTGTTCTATTTTCCTGGTGTTCATTGTTCATGTGAAGTACGTTCCAAAGTCATTACTCAGCAGATACTATCCTCATAATTGAATTTGGGAGACATGGTGAAGCAAGCAAGTATTGAGAAAACAGGACTTTGAAACACAAACTCCCCACACTTTTTATTTTCTAGTCAGCAATATAAACTCTCTACAAATTCTGTAGATGCCCAGGTACCTCCTGGAATTTTCCCTCTAAGGACAGTCTTGGTTCTAATGCAAGCATGACCCTGCAGTTGGTTTTTTTGTTATTGTTTGTTTGTTTTTGTTTTATGCTTTTTACATTTGGGGGCCTTCTACTCAGCTCCCAAATAATACCTGGAGACTTATTCTTACTTATGAATGTTCGGCATTAATTTGGTTTCTTTCTAGCCAGCTTTTCATATTTAAATTATCTTGTTTCTCTTTAATAACATTTTGCCTCTGGGCTTTTACCTTTTTTTTAATCCATTTATTTTTCTTTCCTTCTTATTCTGAGGCTGGCTCTGTGGCTGGGTGGCTGGCCCCTGGCATCTCCATTTCTTTTTCCTTTTCTCCAACCTTACTTTCTTCCCTAGTTTTCTCTCCCTATCTGATCTCTCTTTCTGCCACCCCCACCTGTCCTTTCTCCTGCCTAGCCATTGGCCATTCAGCTCTTTATTAAACCAATCAGCTTCACAGTGTTAAACAAATGCAACATAAAAGAATGCACTGCATCATTGCATCACTCAACAAATATTCCACAGCACAAACGAATGTAACACATCTTAAACTAATATTCCACAAGTTCACGCTGATCAGAGATGCCTCTAAGAATCTGGGGATGGGAAGACACATGAGCCCTTCAAATAGCTGTTTCCCATAGAAAGCAAGGAGTAAGGTAAATAAAGGAAAAGCAGAATGCAGGTGGAAAGATAAAACATTGTTATTCATGATTCAAAGAAATCATAGTTTTAAACCCAAAGTGGAGTCAAACCCAAAGTGGGATAAGCTTGACTTTTACATACAGGTAGGTTCTTTCCCCCAGAACACAAGATTGGAACTAAGAGGAATTTGGTAATGAATCTATTTCCTGAGTAAAAGTCAGCCATGTGTCACTCTTCTGAGGCTTCAGTTTCATTTTTGTTCAAGTATTGTTTGTGCTTTATTCTTATAGTTCATCTTGTCCAGTGACAATACATCATTTCTACCACACATAGAAGATCCAAGTGTGATGTCAAAGAACATTCCCTAAATGCTAGAAAAGTATAGTAGCATGTCAGAATCCATTGAGTTGTGACTTGGTGACTCTTCATTTGATTGGTACCCATGTTGAAAAGAGCCTAACACAGTGTCTTACATTGAAAGTTTCCAAGAAGAGAATTTCGACTTTAAGGAAGAAATTCAGCCAACAGTAAAGGAAAAAGATTAAAGCGAATGAACAGGAAATGTAATTAGCATGCAAATTAGCTAATTAAACGAGAAGAAACCAGTAAGGTACTTATAGGCTGTGAAAAGGGAGAGGAGGTGGCAGTTTACATAGAAAGATCTGACTTAACTATGGTATATTTATTGGTCACCTACTAGATGGTGAACTCTGTTCTAGGCTTTTATAAGTTAGTAACAGTATGCCACCTATTCTAACCAGTTGCTGAGCTCAAAGATGGTCATGTTATCTTTACAGTTCACACACTGAAATCCTGACTTCAGTCTACAAGGTTAGGCAGTAGACACTTCAGGAGGTAATGAGTGTTGTAAGAGTGAAGCCCTTCTATCTGCCACAGGAGTGTAACTTAGCACTCAGAAGAGACTTCTAGCAGCACCAGAAGTGTGGTTCCTTTGACTTCAGTCTTTCAACCCCTAGAACCTTCAGAAACTAATCTATTCTCTTGATAAGCCATCCATTTCAGTCAGCTAGCAAATTAAATAATGACTAGGGGAAGTTTAAAATGTGCATAATGTGCTGGAATTTGGGAATTTAATTCAAAAGAATTCAAATTAGAACAGAGTTAGAGAAATACAGGGGAAATTATTAATATGTTAAAGTTTTAAATATGGCAGTAGTTGGGTTCTCATGCAGAAACCTGGGCAGATGTTTAAAGAAAGTGATGTTTGAGCTATTACTCACAGGAAGAGAGGATGGACAAAAAAGAACTTAGTAGCTTCCACTATTTGGAAAGCTGAGGCAACAGGATTTCTACAAGTTCAAAGCCAGTTGGGACTGTATGATAGCTACATAGTGAGTTCCATGCCACTGGGGATAAAGAGTGAG